AGGTTGGGCAATCCTACTTCCGTAGTGATACTGCCTCGGAAACCCAAGGAGGGGTCACTATGAGTCAGGGCTGACTCGACGGCACATAACAACAAAAACAACATATATATATATATAATATATATATTTACCAATCTGATAGCTATAAAATAAATGGTATCTCAAACTAATCTTAATTTTCTTTTCCATAATCAGTACTAACATTAAGCACTTTTCATGTGTTTGCCTTAATATTTCTTCTTCTGTGAAATGATTATTTGTGATGTTTGTACAATATTCTATTAAGTTTTCTTATTGCTTTGTTTTATATATATTCTGGATATTAATCTTTCCTAGGTTATATGCATTGCTTCCCTCACATTTTGTTGTATTTTCTAACTTTATTTATGGTACATTTTAATGAACAAGATTCCTATTTTTAATGTAATCTAATCAATCAATTTTTATTTTAAATAATTTTTTTTGTATAAGAATTTTTTTTCTGCTCCAAGATCAGAAATGTACCCTGTAATATATATTTTTAGATGACAGAGTTCTGCTTTCATATTTAAATCCTTAATCTTTTTATAATTAATTTTTCAGTGTGATATGACATAGATATTAATTTCCATTTTTTTTTCACATGCATAATGATTTGCTCCAATTTCACAGTTGAATAGTTTCCCTTTCTTCATTTATCTCTAGTCTTACCTTAGCTATATATCAAATATCATATATTACTGTTGGAGGGTAAATTGACACAACTTCTGTGTAAACCAATTTGCAATATATGTCAGCCTTCCAAGTAAACATTTTCATTTCCAGGAGTTTATCTTACACACTTGCACAGATATGAAATGTCATGTGAACAAAGTCATGGATTGCAATACTCTTTGTAATAGGAAAAAAAGTGAACAACATAAATTTCCACAAACAGTAGATGGGGTAAATAAATTACTGTACTTTCATGTAATGAAATATGCAGATGTAAAAAACAAATCCAGAAAGAAAACCAAGGAATTGTTAAAATTATTTCTTTATTCCTCTGCAGATTGTTTATGTCTACAGAAATCCTAAGGATGTTTTGATCTCCTTTTTTCATTTTTCAAAACTCAGAGTTACATTAGAACCATCAGAAACTATGGAACAATTCATGAGAAAATTTCTAGATGGAAAAGGTAATTTTGAATTTATTTATCAAGCAACATGTTTATGAGATAATGTTGACATTAAACTGAATTCTCAATATTAAAGAACATATTTTGGGACTAAGGAACTCTGGTGGTGCAGTGGTTAAAACATTTGGGTGCTGGTGCTAACCAAAAGGTCAGCAGTTTGAACCCACCAGCCACTCAGGGGAGGAAAATCAGGAAGTCTGCTTTTGTTAAGACTTACAGAACTGGAGACCCTATGGGGCAGTTCTACTCTGTCCTACAGGGTTGCTATGAGACAGAATCCACACAATTGCACTGGGTTTTTGTTGTTTTGGGACTGGAGAAGGGAGGTGATTGAAGGTGAAATGCACATGAGTAATTACTATTGCCCATGATTTTATTCTATTTGTCCAATAGCCTTTCTACCTTGCAAGGACCACTTTGAGGGTTGTCCAGGTTGCAAAGGCATATATTTTAGGAAATATTTTGACCAGATTGTAAAAGGATCAAAGACATTCTACTAATTTATATTAACTAGACCCACATCAGAGTCCCTGTGTGGTGCCAATGCTCAACACTCTCATCTGCTGACCCAAAAGTGACAGGTTCAAGTCCACCCAGAGGTACTCAGAAGAAAGGTCTGAGAATCTACTCCAAAAAAATTAGCCACAGGAAACCCTATGGACCATCCTTCTACTCCTCTGACACACGGAGTTGCTGTGAGTCAGAATCAACTCGATGGCAACTGGAAAGCACCATAGATTGACAGGTTCTAGAATAGCTAATGTTCAGGGAGAGTGCGGTTTTTGTGCCTTGTCATGGATTCATAGGAGGTCATCTAGAGTAGATGTGGAATTTCATTCCACCAGTGAAGAATATAGATGGGGACAAGAAGCTTTCCAATGTAGAATCTGGACTCTCCCTCATTTAGAAAATTATACTAAGGTCTGCCCCTTTGTTGAGAGCTAGAACTGCTGTCCAGACATCTTAGACAAGAGGATAAACAGAAAAATATGTTTTCAAGTGAAAGAAATATGAAAATGACGAGTCTGATATTTTAAAAATCTTTAAAATTAAATCTTTAGCCTTCTCACCTCTGCATTGCTGCTTTCCTGTATACATATGTTATAGGTTCAGTTTAAAATAAAAGCCACTATAATGACCACTTTTGGGTAAGAGTTTTATTTAGGCCAGCCAACTGCAGGGAGCTGAAGTGCGCTCCTGTGCTGCAGCAACAAGTCTGATTTTAGGCAGGCTTTATAAAGCAGGCAAGCAAGCGATAATACTGAAGTAGAAGCTGCAGTTTCAAGGTCTTAGAGTACGTGCTCTAGCACAGGTGTTCATTGAGGGGTGATGGGAGTTAGTTCTGATAATCACTGCAGAGTAAGTGCCCTAGCACAGGGATTTATTGAGGGGTGATTTAGCTGCTTTATGTGCCTAGGAGGGAGGAGAAGAAAAAGACAAAAGGGGTACTCCCTAACTCAAAGGAAGTGGGGGCAGGATGAGATGTTTACTTCAGCCACAAAATTGGAGTTTTAGCGAGATATTGGCAGCCATAGTTGGACATTAGAAAAATAGAGTTACAAGATGGAGTCACTTACTCACATAGCATAAATTTTCATAGGAAAATTCCTACTGAAATCATGTCATTGTTCCCTGTGGTAGTTAAGTTAGTGTGTCAACCTGGCTGGGCCTGGTTGGGTTTCTGGGTGGCTGGATATAGTATTCCCCATGATGAGACTGGTACTCAACTCCATGGTGGAATCTACTGTGAGCAGCCAAGTAGCTGCCTTAGGGATGTGGTCTGCTTCCTGTATATAAGAAGCAGCCTTGGGGAACTGTCTGTAGTCTATGGCATGCTTGAACCTTGCATGTAGCCAAGTCATTGTTTAGCAGCCTGCCATGCTCTGCTGATCTTGGGACTTTTAATGGACTTGAATTAATGGCCTGCCATGTGGTTTGGTAATATTGGTACTGTGCCTTGTTACCTGTCGACCTTGGGCTTGTCAGCCTCAGCAGCCAGCAGCTGAGTGAAGAAAAGCCTCCAGTTTCAGTAGGCTGAGAGCAGGATGCAGACCTGAGGCCCAAGGTTGAGAAACTTTCATCCAGCCCTTAGAGCCTGGTACTTTGAACTCGGACTTTGAACTTGGACTAAAGCCTCCAAACTGTAAGAGAATAAACTTCTGTTTCTTCAAGCATCCCATTTGTAGTATTTTCTGTTAGAGTGGCACTAGGTAACCAACACATTTCCCAAGCTCTTACTTTTTTAAAAGAAGGGAATATGGATGTCTAGTACTGAGAGGTTTATTATTTCCTCTGAAAATCCCAGAACAGAAAGGAAAATCTGTAGTTTATTTTTCAAAAAAGTGCAACATCTTTACCTAGTCACTTATTAATTTTTCCCACAGTGGTAGGAAGCCTTTGGTTTGATCACATCAGAGGCTGGTATGAGCACAAACACAATTTCAATATTCTGTTCATGCAGTATGAAGGTATGAAGAAGGTAAGATGGGAGTGTTTCTCTTATTATTCTTAAAATTCTTTCTTCTCTTGGTTTCAGTGAATCACGTATGCCTAGTTCTCTTTGGATATTAGTACGTATTCCTTCTCAGCCTTCTTTTGGGACTTCTAATTTTCTGCTCATCCTGTAATTAGTAGCCTTTCTTAGCACTCTCTTCCAGGTATCTTCTCAGTCTTTTATAGTGATGCCTGCTCATATAACTCCTAAAGCAATTAAGGCAAACCCAAATGTCCAGAGCACCCCGACATAAATAAAGAAGGAGGACACTGTGGAGCATTGGGATAAGAAACCATTTCTAAGATATGGCTAATTATTCTCACAGGTGAATGTGTGCCCTATGATGCACATGCTTCCTGTTTTATAAGACAAATTTGAAATGTAGATTTCATGTGAAATCATATAATGTTGAAATGTTGACAATTGATTCAAAGACGTTTTAACCATTGTCTAAACCAGACAAAACACATTTGAAGTTCACTATTTTGTGATCTCTGATTAATATGTTAACTCATTTATATGTTATTTATTCATTGATTTTTTTTTTTTTTTTAATATTGAATGCCTACTATGGGGCCAGTACTTAATCATGAGAAAAAGAAGACTATACCCTTTATTTATAGAGCTCATAATCTAACAGGAGAGACAGGGATTCATCAAGAAAGTATAAATATAAAAACTGTATTAAGTATTATTTAGGGAAAGTACAGGTATGCTGTCAATCTGTGTAACAAATATATCTCATATGGTGATGGGTGATAGTGGATGTTTTCTGGAAGAAGTAACATGAGAACTGCAAATTCAATGAATATGAATTAACAAAGGGAAGTGTGGCAGATGAGTATTCCTAGCCAAGGAAATATCTGCAAATTTTCTGAAACCAGAAAAGGCAAAACACCTTTGAGAAACTGAAGGAGAGAGGAATTTAGAGAGCTAGAAGAAAGTGGTGGAAGATGAAGATACAAAGTGTGTAGGAGACAGATTACACAAGGTCTATAGATTGTATTAGTGATCGTATTTGTTTTTCTTTTTAATCTTAAAACAGTAAGGAGCCTTTTAAGAGTTATAAAAAAGGAAAGAAATGTGATTGAATTGATAATTTTAGAATAGCATTCCTATTAGTGCCTTGAAAAGTGGTAATAGTGAATATAGGAAGACCAGTTAGAGACTAGAATAGTAATTCAAGTAAAAAATAATGGTGCTTTGAATTAGAGTACTAGGCTTGGAGAGAAAGCAATATTAAAACATATTTTAGAAGGTAAAAAGGAAGGGGAATTACATTTAAGAATAATGAGAAAAAGAGCTGTCAAGATTTTTGGTTGATGTAGCTTTGGTTCCATTCATGAAGAAAATAGGTAACAATGAAGCAGGATCAGGTCAAAGGGAGAAGAGTATGAGATTGGTTTTATCACGTGGAGATTAAGATGACTTTTTGTTTTTGTTGTTGTTGTATGTCGTCGAGTCAGCCACGACTCATAGAAGCATCCAAATGGAGATATTGAGAAATAGATGGAAAATACAAGTCTAGAGGGAACAAGTGTAAGCAGAATATATTAATTCAATTATTGTCAATGTATAGAATATGACAGAAACCACCACATGGATGAAATGATGAAATCAAAACAGAGAGAGAGAGAAAGTGAGAAAACATAGAATGAGAAGGAAAGGGCAGCTAGAACAAATTACTGAGAGACTTTAACATGCAAAGTTTCAGTAAAGAAGGATGAGACCTCCAAGGAAACAGACAAGGAACAATAATACAGGTAGAAAGAAAGCAAGGTGTGGTGACATGGAGACCAAGAGAGGTGTGAAGAAGAGAGAAAGAAATAAATATTTGCCTGCAAAGAAATAAAGTTAAAATGAGAATTTAAAATGTCTACTGAATTGTAGTGCAAAACATGGTAGCCAGGTTGGAGCGGGTTGGGACGAATCCCAAATCTGTATCACCAGTCTAAATCCTAGAGCAGAGATTCAGACACACTTTATTCACCAATTCTATCACTGATGAGAAATAAGACTATTTCAACTTTTGTCTCATTTTGAACAATCTGAAAGTTCTTTTCATATCCAGGATATATCTCATGATGTACACATGCACGCCTTTGAAACTATACATATGAATTGCTGGGTCTTGGGATGAGTGTACTTTTAAGTTGAGTAGATTAAAGGATTTTGTGGTAGTTAAGGTTTTGTGTCAACTTGACTGAGCCTGGTTTGAGTGGCTGGGCAGCTAGATGTAGTAATCCCCATGATGAGATTGGAAATCATGTCCATGGTGGAATCCACTCTGAGCAGCTGAGTAGCTGCCTTAGGGATGTGGTCTGCTCCCAGTATAGAAGGAGAAGCTTTGGGAATGGTCTGTAGCTTTTGGCATGCTTGAACCCTGCCCGTAGCTGAGTGGTTGTTCAGTAGCCTGCCACATTGTCTACTGATCTCAGAACTCTTAATGGACTTGAATCAGTGGTCTGTCATGTAGTTTGGTAACATCAGGACTGTGCCCTTTTACTTGTCAACCTTGGGTTTGTTAGCCTCAGCAGCCAGCAGCTGCCTGAGTGAAGAAAGCCTCAAGTTTCAGTGGGCCAGGATCAAGAGGCATATTTGAAGCCCAAGGTCAAGGAGCTTTTTCACTCAGCCCCTGGAGTTTGGCACTTTGAACTTGGACTTCTAGCTTCCAAAAGTGTAAGACAATAAATTCCTGTTTGTGGTGTTTCCTTTTAGAGTGGCATGAAGTAATCAAAACACAGTATTTTCTGAGTCTCATCCAAAATCTTTGGAATTAAAATCAGTTTCTAATTTCACAGTAAACTCACATCAGAAATACTCAAACTATAAAGCTGTTCTCAGGAGATGTTGCATATTTCCCAGTCACTTGGATTGATATTCTCAGGTCCATAGTGACCACTTAGAATCAATGTTTATACTTCCATATCTCAAGTGTCCACCATTATATAGTTGGAATGAAGATAAACTGATAAGCTTACTATATAATGTGAAATATGGCTCAGAATTATGGACAGTGATAGGTAGTAACATTGAGGAATAATTCATGTTGTTGTTGTTAAGTGCCGTCGAGTCATTGCTGACTCATAGCGACCCCATGCACAGCAGAACGAAACACTGCCCGATCCCGCACCAGCCCCACGATCCCTACTATACTTGAGCTCATCATCGCAGCCACCATATCAATCCATCTCGTTGAAGGCCTCCCCCTCTTTCGTCGACCCTCCACCCTACCAAGCATGACATCCTTCTCCAG